CATGTCCTTAAAATCCACGTGAGAACCACGCAGCTGAGAGGCCGTGACTGTGGCAGCTACACCACGCAGCTGAGACGTGGTCGTCCTGAAGCACCGATGGGCAGAAAACGTGTGGACATATCGACTGGACCGCGCTGCAGCAGCAGCCTCGTGTGAAACGAGTCTGTTACTATCTGTTTTCAGTCTGAGGGAAACAGCACCAACAGTTCAAGGCAGAAAAACGTGAATCTTTCATGTTTCCATGAAGTCTCGGTGGCTCGGTGTGAGCCCGTCTTTTAGCCTGTTTGTTTCTCTTTAGTTCTCCGAGCGGGATCACCGACATCTGTCACTGAGTTAGAGTTAGTGTTCTGGGAAATAAATGAGTGTAAAGACTGAGCAGTGCGAGCGGCTCATGTGTTTGGACGTTTTCTTGGTCTGTGTGTAAATAACAACATTAGAATCCAGCAGAAACACTGAGGTGTTTTTAAAAAGCTCAAGTTTCTCTTCCCTTAACCTAGAGTTAGACAAGCATGTGGCTGTAAAGGAGCCCACCTCTCCCCCAGGCCTCCCTCTCTCCCCCAGGCCTCCCTCTCTCACCCAGACCTCCCTCTCTCCCCCAGACCTCCCTCTCTCACCCAGACCTCCCTCTCTCCCCCAGGCCTCCCTCTCTCCCCCAGACCTTCTCTGCTGGAGAATCCCAGCAGATTCAATCCATCCAGCTCTCAGAGAAACTGGAACAAAAGCTCCATCTCAGTCTCTACAGGCTTCAGTTAGCATGTCAAAGGTTAAAGTTCATGACATCACAATTGCAGGAGAAAGCCTCCTCTCTATAGAAAGAGCACGCAGCACAACTCAGGTCTGCGACGGCACAGGCCGAGTCCACAGCTGAACCCAGCAGAAGAGCTGTGGTGGAAGTGGAACGAGTGACACGACGCTGTGAAGAAGAGCGAGCTCCAGACAACTTTACACATCTGTAACTTTATACTCCTGTAAGTGTCCTTTACAGTCACATTTTTACTGAGGTGACATACTTTAATACATATTCTGAATTTTGATATTTGAGAATAATTTACTTGTGATTATTTCATGAAATTTATTGTGAAGGTTTGTGTGGAAAATAAAGGAGTGAACAAAGTGGTTTGACTCTTGTGTCCTGGGTGCGCTCCTTTTAAATATAAATAACATGAGAACTGTAAGGAGTTCAAATGGACACTACACTTATATTAAACTTTTATGTATTTAATGTGTGTTGAGACTCCAGTCGGGTACATCCTTCCTCTTTCTTGTGGTGACCTACAAATAAAATAAATACACAAGAACAAATATGAAAATATGGTTCTTTATTTATTATTATTTTGTGCAGAAATCCTCATTTTTCCCTTTTTTCGATTTTCTTCTGTCTCTTTAAGACATTTCACTAAATTGCTTTTCGTCTGTACAGGGCTTTTATTGTGAAACTCCGGGAGAGGAAGAACCCTTTGGGCGCATGCGTAGAAGAAGCAGGTTTGCAGCAGCGGCTCTCCTGAGGCGCGGACCGAGCCGGAGCACGGTGTAGTATCCCCCCGCTCAGTACTCGGGTTACTGCAGTAGTCATGTGTACTCTTGAGTATCTGAAGGACTTTATCCAGCGGAGGCTGACGGCAGCCGCGGAGGAAATCTTCAGCGAGGTGGAGAAAACCTTCGTGCAGTACGAGGAGGAGCTCGACCGTCACCGGCGGCTGCAGCGGAAGCTGCTCCTCACAGGTGTGTAAAACCTGCACGTGCCGGAAATCCAGCCAGCGGTGCTGCGTTCGAGGTCAAACTGGGAGTCGGAATTTTATTATGAAACGTAGCCCGCGAGCCCACATCCAAGATGGCGGCAGTGAACGTAAACTGTGGTAAAACTTGGAATGTGTGCAGCACAGCTGTGTACCCGTGACTCACTGGCTGTGTCCCAATTCAGGGTCTGCAGCCTTAAAGTACGCAGCCGCAACGATCCTCAAGGGCCGCGTACTCAAAGACCGTGAAGGCCGGAAGTGCGAGGCTTGTGAAATGGGACGGTCTAGCCACCGTCGCGCTGCCCAGGTTGCCTAGCAACCATGATACTAACAGCTGGAAACGTGTCATACAGCTGTGTTTGACAGAAATGAAGGAGAAAATCTTTTGTTCATGTGTTTGTTTGTTCCTACATGAGCTTTGATCATTCTCTGTGAGATTAAGCTCAGCTGTTGAACGGCGTATATTTTAAAGTAAAGGCTTTAAAACCAAGTTAGTACAAACGTCACTAACGTCACATGACTTTGCCGACATGTGGCCAACAGGAATGTTTAATGTTCTTCGTTATTAAACATTTGCACATAAATAAGTGACATAATATTCAGTACTTACTTAAAGTTTACTCTTCTTTTTTTTCGGCAAAATCATCCACACCCACCGCCGCGCTATGCATTCTGGGATATGTTGGGCCACGAAGTCTACACCGCCACGTCCTTAAAATTCAGGGAAATGAAGGACGCATTTGAGGGCCGCATTTCGAGCAGCCTTTGAATTGGGACAGCCTTCGGCGCGCCGCTGTGACATAATCGGCCTTAAAATGCGGCCTTTAAGGCTGCAGACCCTGGATTGGGATACAGCCACTGACCTGCTCCACCCATGAATGTGCTGCACAGGTGCCAGAAACTGTCTGATGAGCTGAGCTCAGCAACAACAGGGAGGCTGCACATCAGCTCACCTGAACACACCTGGCTGATGCACGAGCTCTGGAGCCGATCGGTGGTTGGCTGGATCCGCTTTATTCCAAACATGTAAACAATATACCGAAGTTCATTTAGCAAAGACAAACAAACAGCTTTACAAAATAACATACAAGGAAAGGAGTGGGAAGAAGTGCGCATGTCCCGCCCCTTCGCCACAGTTATCGGTCAATATTCAATCAGCGTCCTTGTTGATATAATCTGCAGTCATAATGATAACGAACATATTTCTAACATAATATACACACCACATAACATCACTTTGTTTTTGCCTCCACACAACAAAACCGACTCCTCCAGTTATGAGAAGTTAGTTGTAGAATCCAATAAGCAGGAATGAAACTCTGTCCACGGCCTGCTGGGAGACAGAGCTGTCAGATCATCAGCCTTTGTTTCCTCCTCACCTTCTGCAGGGAGGGCACGTCTGCTGAGACCCCTCTGACCCAGGCTTGGATCAGTCAGAGGAACTTAATGGATGGCTGGATTTGTTATACACCTATAAAGCTGAAACTTCTCCCCAACAGGAAATCTTTGTTTTTAGTTATGAACCTCTTGAAGCCATTCTTTCTTTTTTATGTCTCATATTTAAAAACTGGATGTTAAATCTGATGCTCCTGACCTTTGTGTGTGTGTGAGTGAACCACAGAGTTCACTAACCCTCACCAGGATCTCTATGGGTTTTACTGTTAACTTATTTCTTGTGCAACTTTGTTTAGATGTCCCACAGCAGCCTGTAGGTAAGGAGGAGGAGGTTCTCCCTGAGCAGCAGCTCTGGAACCAGGAGAGGAGCTCCAGTGTGGAGCAGGAGGAACCAGAAGCTCCACAGATTAAAGAGGAACAGGAGGAACTGTGCAGCAGTCAG